GGTGCAGCGATGCTTCCGGGCCAGAACCAAGACAAAAAAAACCGCCCCCCCCCACAGGATACCCGACATCCCTTCACTTAGGGACGTCCGACTAGCAGTAGCCCTCGGGATGATCACTTATGGATCCCGTCCGTTGGGTCTTGGGGTGGGCCCCCAAATCTTCACAGAGTAGAACACTCTTTTCGTCTCTGCGGGGTCACATCATCATATCAATGATACCTATCTCACACACGAATTCGTAGATTAACTCATAGATTTCGTGTTTGCTTACTTTTGGAAAAAGTAAGTTCGGAACACTGAGAGCCGTGTTAAGGGAACTCAGTTTATCCGTGAGAGGTTTCCTTTCAGCTGAGAGGCGAGCACAGTCTACTAGAATATGGGTAGGAGACACGTCTGAGCCACAGCTGCACCTTATAGGCTTAAATGTGCGATATCTGAGTGTTTTTTTCACCTTCAGCTTTGTTATTAACCGGCAGATTTTCCTGCTGGGATGATTTACTGATAACTTAGCCTTTAAGGACTCATCGGATCTGAATCTAAAGGTGTCGAGTTCCACGAGGGAGTTTTCCCATTCAGAGCTGACGCGTAACTCGACCATGCTTTTAAATTCGTTGATGCTATAAGGGAGCTCGACGCTAGGTTTCTCCAATTGTGACCCCTTTAGGGCGAGCCTGTCCGCCTCTTCGTTCCCCTTAAGGTAGATATGCGACGTGACCCATGTCAATACTATATGGTTGCCCTTTGCCAGAGATTTTCGTACGCTAGGTAGATCTGGGTCAGCAGTTCGGGACGGGCGTCCGACCTCTGATTTCTTATGGATTCCAGACTACGCAGTGAGTCGCTGAGGACAACATAGTTTGAATTTCTTTGGCTGGATATCCACACTACGGCTTCTTTGATCGCATACCTTTCCGATGTGTACACAGAGCACATATTTGGTAGTCTATTTGCTACCTGTAACTCTTTCCCCGGGATATAAATCCCGAAGCCCGTCGTACCGTTCTCGGGGTTGTGCGATCCGTCCGTGTAAATGTGAGTCCATTTTGACCAATTATTCTCAATATGAGCTAAAGAGAGATGCTTGGCCGCCAATGGGTTATTCCCTTTGTCTACCCTCAGGACGAGGGTGGTATCTACCGGGAGTACTGGGAGGGTCCAGGGGGCCCTGATCGTATCCTCTATACCATTAATGGTGAGCTTATCGAGACCGTAGTCCCTAACCATTTCGCCGACTGCCTGGCCGTATGACTTCTTGGTGGGGTCCCCGACTCTTTTGAACCTCGAGATTTCGTTAAAGGCTGGACACCTTTCACCCAATCGGTTTAGTTTGGCCCAATGCCCCAGGGTCAGTTTCCTTCTTCGAAGTGACAGAGGGAGTTCGCCGACATCCTGTAGTAACGACTCGCGCTTGGCACCTAAGCCACAGCCTGTGGCAATACAAATGGCTTTGTATTGTATCGTGTCCAACTTGCTTAGTGTAACGGGTCTTGCATTTAAGAAAGCCATGCAGCCGTAATCTAATACAGGACGTATTAGAGAACGATAGATCATCATGAGGGCAACTCGGCTTGCTCCCCATTCACGTCCCGTTATTTTCCTCATAAGGTTCAGGATGCGCTGAGTACGTGTTACCACATATTTGATGTGCGGTCTCCATGTCACTTTCCTATCAAAGATTACACCAAGGAACTTGGTTTCGTCTTTGAATTCTATGTACTGACCATTGAGCTGCAGGGACATCCGGGAAACCTCGGGATCCCTGCATACTAGCATACCTACAGTTTTCGGTGACGAGATCTGAAATCCCCAATCATTTGCCCAAGAGGTGAATCCGTCCAAGGCTCCTTGCATGCGTTTCTGAACCTGCGAATATAGACTACCCTTGGTCCACAGGGTGCTATCGTCCGCAAACGTAGCAAGCGAAATATCTTTTCCGAGATATTCTTTGATATCATTCACCATAATATTGAACAATGTTGGGCTTATAACGGAACCCTGGGGAGTTCCGTTATCCAGTCCGGTCTCTTTACTGAGGTATTTGCCGATTGTAACCCTGATTTGTCTGTCTGAGACAAAACTCTTGATCCAGTTGTACATGTTACCATGCACGCCTACCAAGGACAGTTTGTGTAATGATTCCATTCTTTTGTACGAATGCATGACCACTCGGACCAACTAATAGACCACTCGGACGAAACAAAAAGACTACTCGGACCATACAAAAAGAATTACTCGGACCAATAATAAAGTGTTGTTTAAATAAGTTAATAATTGCGTTTGTATTAATATGACTACTCGAATCAATAATAAAGTGTTGTTTTAATTGTTGTTTTAATAAATTGATAATTGTGTTTGTTTTAATATGCATACGTTTTCTTTGAAATAAGAAAGTGTTATGTACTTACCCGTGGCATTGTTTCATCATGAAGCACATCAAAGAAAATCAGTTAAAACAAAGATTAATTTGTATGTATCTGTACTCACACGTGTTACTAGCTGCAATATTTGTAGCCGTTATAATTCTTAAACACGGCTACAATTGATACACTAATCGAGGCTTTTGGTAAGTAAAATAAGGTTCAATTGCGAAATCATAAGAGTTTGCATGGAAATAAGTAATTATGTTACAAATATTAAAGAGTTGAACACTGAAATCTTAATCTTATCTTACCAAACAGTTATTCTGTATTTTCAAGCAAAACGCAAGACATTAGTACTGGACTACTCGAACCAGTGTTGTTTTAATTGTTGTTTTAATAAATTGATAATTGTGTTTGTTTTAATATGCATATGTTTTCTTTGAAATAATAAAGTGTTATGTACTTACCCGTGGTATTGTTTCATCATAAAGCACATCAAAGAAAAACAATTAAATTGATGTAATAAAGATATATATTTGCTAATATGTACTTACCGGCAGCGGATATTCTTAAGTTATGTATATACTCACCTATAAATTGTTCGCCACTTTGTATTGTGATTTAATCATTAATAACATATTGTCTGTATTATATTTTTAAAATGAATAAGTCAAGCCTTATAGTGTAATTTAATTGGTCCTTGTGGTCCTTTGGGTTGGTCCGAATAGCAAAGATAAATATGGGTCCGATATTATGCAATATCGATGCAGGTTTGTTTTTTTTCTCTCTTTTTTTTTCTAACAATATGTATTCAATATTTACATATTATAAAGGTACAATATTCGATTATGGGATCTGAAAACAAGCCGTACAGATGTATAAATGCATTGTTTATAATTATAATCACGATTTACATACAATTATAATTACAAAAGCAAATGCAGGTTCAATCAAGAAACTTGCGTGTTCACCGTGAGCTTCTGATATCTAGATTTTAAAGCATATAGATTGCAGTTACACAGGGTACATGTATATGCAGTAGGAAATCGGGAAGTTGGACGTACAAAAGAATGGGATCATTCAGAGAGTGTAGTCAAAATAAGAAAATTATAACGGAGTGAAGGCGAGAATTACATGTAACACACTCGTGGATATTGTATAAATATATGACATGCGCATGTAATGTAAACGTATATGTGTGTATCAAATGGCTTTATTCAATATCTGCTTCCACCGAAATGAATTGGGCGACATTTAAAGTAGATGTGTATTGTCACAGCGGAGATTTTGTCGCCGAGTAACACAGAGTAAGAATATAGTTCCAATCTTTCGGCGCGTTTCTGACCCATGACTTACCGTTAAGTGCCCCGTGTAGTGATTTACGGCACTGTGCTCTATGAATGATTGATTTAGATTAACTGAAGCTGCAAGTAATGTGTAAAAGCTCATCGTATGACCTATATAATTTAAAGTTTGGATTTTATAGCAGCCAATAATTGATGGATTACATCTAAGTTATAGACGAAGATGTAATGATATGTTTAAAAAAATTGTAAGTTGTTCATTGTTGCATACATTTTGGCCGACGTTATATGAATGTACAGTGCGTTAGAAAAAATCCTAACCGATACAGAATGCCGGTAAATGTTTTCCCGAGATTACCTAACTCATTTTGTTGTTATTCAAACCGGCCTGTACATTATAAATGTACACGTTTTCGCGACAGCCTTACTGTATTACAACTCCTTCAATTAATTATAGACAATATTATTTCGACCCTAGCTTCTCGCAAATTCCTTGCGGGAAGCATGGCAAAACACGATGTAACGTATCTCGGGAAATTCAACGGCTCGTCTAATAAATGAGCGCCCTAGATAATTGAACGGGAAGTCCATTTTTAAACGCATCTCGGGGAAATTCAACGGCTCGTCCAATAATGAACGCCATAGATAAGTGCACGGGTAGTCAATTTTTAAACGCATCTCGGAGAAACTAAAGCCGTTGACATTAATCTAAACCATAGTACTAATTAAACCATTAAACGGGGTTTTGAAATTAAACGGTATGAATAGTAACCAACGCTAAAAAACCCATATTAAACGATACCATATTTGTAGTGGCTTCGATAATTTCTTGACTTATTTTTAAAGAATTGACCCCAAGAAACTGCAGAATTTGTGTATTTTTATATAAATTTTGAATGGCTTTTATAAAAATTAGATAACATATTATATCTTACTTTTGACCTCGATAAAGAGTGGAGGTACTGTCCTATTGGGGCCCCGTGTTAAAAAAATGAGTAATTAAAAGCAAAGAGAATGTTGCAAATTTGGTTGAGGTCAGAATAATGAGAGCTCAATAATTAAGTAAAAAATAAAATTTCAACTGCTTGTCTCACATGGTCGCTGCCATGTTTAATAATGTGATTTACATGAAAGATGACTGGTGAATAGGTCGGAGAATTCGCCTAGTGTGTCCACTCAATTCGGCTGCAATTTGGCCCCGATTGATTTTGACAGAAATTCCCCTGGTGTTTTTCCCGCTTAAAGAAAACTCAAAATCTTAGTCATACCTATTCTCTGGTTTTGAACTTATAGCATCATGAACTTTCTTCAGAGATATGTTGATTATGCTTTACAGGTGGAGAGAAACAAAGAGTAGCTATCGCTAGAACTATATTAAAAGATCCCAGTGTTATTATATATGATGAAGCGACATCCTCGTTAGATACTATAACTGAACAGGTAACTTTATTATTATTGTTGCCTTAGGGGGATTGGATCGCCGAATGGTTATCATGTGCACGTTGTATCATAAGGTCTGTCATTAAGTCAACTGGCGTGGTTTAGATTCCCTGGTTTTACATGACAAGAAGTAGGGTCGCCCGTCTAACCTTGTGAGTTTTCTTCAGGTCCTCCGGTTTCCTCCCACTGCTAAAGACTCTTACGCACAAGCGAATTATTGAAATAAAAAATTGAACCAATACCATATGTTAGTCCCGATAATGAACTAGTTTATGTCTTCTGGGCGTTAAACCCCATTTCTCTCTCTCTATTGTTGCCTTGGATTTTCAAGATTTTCCTATTTTTAAACTGAGTGGTGATACCACAGGGAGTCGATAAAACATCAATTTTCCGACCAGTAACACTATCTTAACCCAGTGTTATGCTAATTTGTGGTTTAGAGTATGGGACAGAGGCACATTGTGTGATGACACTTTCTGGTGCACCTGCAGCTTTTAATTTAAATTGGGCACTCGCATATATAGATAATATATTGTAGTGCATGGACTTTGTTTTACACTTAGGTTTTTCTTTGATTTTCTTATAAACATTTTAATGTTTCTTTCTTTTTTCCTTCAGAATATCCTCCTCGCTTTACAAAGAGTGACCCAAGGTCGCACAACTGTGGTAATAGCCCATAGACTTTCTACTGTGGTAGATGCTGATGAAATATTAGTATTACAACATGGTCGTGTAGCTGAACGTGGAACACATTATAGTCTACTATCCAATCCTAATAGTATATATACAGACTTGTGGCAGAAACAAAATATAGTTTTAGAAGAGAATAATAATGAATTAATTGGTAATGAAGATAATACAAAGTCAGTGTATTAATATGTAATTAATATTAGATTCATAAAATCAGAATAAAATAAAGTGCACTTAAGATGGACGAGGAAAATTCTGGTACATGTAGCCGTAAAGTGGATATAGTAACCATTGGCTATACGTACATGAAATTTCGATTTTTCACCTTATGTTGTCTTTAAGGAAATTGTTCCTCTGAAATCAAACAAAGTATAGATTTGACTACATGTGATCCTGATTTGTTACTTATAAGGATGTATAATTAAACTCTGTTAAATTCAAATTAATTGTTGGAGAAGTAACTTTACACTTCAGTCTTATTCCTAAAGAGTCTTATTCAAGTAAGGAATATGTCTGATACATGGACATTAATAAAGGAATAAAAGATAATAAATTTACATATATACTGTAATTATTTTGTCCTAATTTGTTATGGTAGATAGTTTTGTTAGCTCTATTTACATTGATTGTAGATATGTCTTCCTGTAAAAAAATTTAATTTTTAAATTAAAATACATACTTTAAAAGCAAAAAGGTTATTAATGATCTTTTCAAAATATCAGTTTACAATTTCAGTGTCCACAGATTTTACATAGGCTTGGTTAAAGATACATTATGGGAGATTAGATAGAGAACTTGCAGTTCTCACTATAATACTAATAGTAATAGTTAAAAACTAGATAATGTAAAGGAAATTTGCTGAAAATTTCAGTCAAAGTGATCCACTTGAATTTTGGGCCTAGCTAGCCTCGGTCATTAATAAAGTCGGTACGATAAAAAACAGTCTTGATTATCCATTTCTTGATTGTCCATTTCTTGATTTAATCTTGAATGAGTGTTGAGCAGCAGATTAGATCCTAATCCAGTAAATATCACAGGCTAGCGATGACATCGAGAGTTGATAATGGTCTGGACAAGTTAATTAATGTCTAATTAATAATTTAGATAACATTTCAGGCATAAAGAAAGACCTGCATAAGGTATGGTTAAACAAAACCAAAATGAAATAAAGATCAATGCTATAGTGAACGTAACTCATAGAATCCGGTTAATGCATGCATAAGAAATTGTCAGTTATTGATTTCTGCACATTTTAGGGGATGGATTGTTAGATAATACCATCTCAAACCCTAATATTCACAACACAGATTGATTTCCATGAGATCAGAATAAGAGAGAAAATGAGAATAAGAACCAGTGCATCAACTAGTTTTGCCAATGGCAACAAATCTTGCTCCAGGGTCATTCTATGCCAACTGGACCAATGGTGGGAACATGACCTCCTCCAAAAAAATTATAAAAAATAAATGTTATAGTATATGGCCTTAAACTAAGAAATCCAAACTTTTACCTCACTAGGTTGGAAACTCGCTATGATATGGCCATTTGAAATTAGGGTACTAAAACCATGGCTCAAAATGTTCACCTGTCTACTTGTCGCCGAGTGCGCGTCGAATAACCCAATAACACCCAATAACTGCCCAATAACTCCAAAATAACAACCAATAACTACAAAATGTTGACTTTGGATACACAAAATAACAATTTAGTTGAATTTAAGAAGCATCGCTGCTTTGTGTCCAAATCGGAGTTTCACGCTCACTCGCCTGAAGGGAGATAACTCGTATATGTGATTTTTGTTGACAAGAAATTAATAACACCCAATAACTGCTCAATAACACCCAATAACTGCCCAATAACACCAAATTGTTGACTTTGGAAGTACAAAATAACAATTTAGTTGAATTTAAAAGCCTCGCAACGTTGAGCCCAAATCAGAGTTTTACGCTCACTCGTCTGAAGGGAGATAACTCGTGTATGTGATTTTTGTTTACAAGAAATTAATGTATGCTTTCGTTGCAATTCGTTTTAATTACCGGTATACATGATAGGAAAAATCCCCGATTTGAGTATCCTTGCGGATCATGTTTGAAAGAAACTCGCGATATTCAAAGCTTATATCGTGAAGTATGTCAACGTTGGTGCCATTCAGATTGTGAGAAAGTAGATACTACCCAGTTGAATTTTTTTCAATGTTCAAGTGAAGACTACATATGTAGGTCTTGCAGATCCAACTATGCTGGTTTTGATATTCAAATCGGAGTTTCATGCTCAATCGCCTGAAGGGAGATAACTTGTGTATGTGATTCCCCGGTTATACCTGACAAGAAGTAGTGTCGTCTGTCCAGAATCGTGGGTTCTCTCTGGGTCATCACACTGGTAAAGTCCCCCCCCCCCCACACACACACAAGAGAATTATTGAAATGACATAGTGGACGTTAAACCTCATCCCTCTATCTACATAACTAATACTCACAACAAAGTATTTTGTGTACGTTTTAATCCTTATATATCGTTAAATCAAAAATCGCTTTAACTAGTGCATTATTATTATTATATATAAGATGGCCATCAATCTATAAATAACTATTTCAACCCCTCCATGGGTATCGTCAGGCGGTGGGGTGGCAATAACAGAAAGTTATTACAGATATTCCCGCTATAGTTATTTTTATATCGCGAAACGAATCAAAACCCCATAATGCTTGGCCCCATGATGCTCCATTGGGATGGCGAAGCACCAACCTATCACTATTTCTTTTCACAGCTTCGTTCCCAGTTAGGTAGTGATAAAATAATATTTGGTACCGACGAAGAAAAATCTATGACTAAATCTTTGTATGAAGTATTCCAAAATTCTAATTTCTTACTTTGTACAAAACACATTAAGGAAAATTTATATCGACATTTAGAGAAATCGGGAACACCACAAAAAGAACGCTCAATTATAAGAAATATAATTTTTGGTAAGAAAGGAATTGTATATTCGAAAAATGACATGGATTTTGAAATGAAAAAAGATGATTTGTCTGTTTATTTTGAAAAATAGCCTAGATTTGAACAATATTGGGACAGATATTTAAAACATAAATTGTTATTATATGTTATTAAGCCCCTCCAAAATAAACTGATATCAGACTTATGGACTAATAACAACGCAGAATCAATTAATAATAGATTGAAACAAGAAACCGATTGGCATATTCAGAATTTACCTGACCTTGTTACAAAATTGGCTAGAGTGTCAACATTTCAAATTCTCAACATACGTCAGGCTTTACACGGGACAGGCAATTGGCAACTTGTAGACCACAAATCTGAGATCTGTCCTGAAACATGGGCTTGTATGGAAGCGGACAAGAAAACTCGCATTTTGAATAAATATTTAATGAAGAAGAAAAATGTATATAATGTAAATATTGTTAATTCAGAAAATGTTGATTTCGGGTGCGTAAAGCCCAAAGAAACGTCTGGCAAGAAACCAGGGCAACGTAAACGATGGCACGCAGAAAAAACTCATTGAATGGCTATGTTAGTTTTAATAAAATATTTCATATGAAACAGGTTTAAATGTTTTAATAAAATATTGTTTTGTAAAGGAATTAAAATTAAACGCCAAGTATCTCGTTACCTCGTCAGGTAGCGCCTTTGTGCGTAGAATATTTGGCAGTTAATTAGAATTTCTTTACAGACTAATTATTTTATTATCTTTATAATATTTTCATATGAAACATTTTTAAATATGTATGTTTTTTTTTTTTTTATAAAACATTGGTTTGTAAAGGAATTAAAATTAACAGCCAAGTATCTCGTTATCTTGTCAGGTAGCGCCTATGTGCGTAGAATGTTTTGCAGTTAATTAGAATTTCTTTACAGACTAATCGTTATGTCGTCGGGTAGCGCATTTTTGCGCTAAATTATTGGAAGTTAATTTGAATTTCATGAAAAACTATAGCGGGGACATCTGTAATAACGTTTTGTTATTGCAACCGCCTGACGATATCCATGGAGGGGTTGAAATAGTTATTCCATATTTGACGCCCATGTATAATTAAAACGAATTGCAACGAAAGCATACATTAATTTCTTGTAAACAAAAATCACATACACGAGCTATCTCCCTTCGGGCGAGTGAGCGTAAAACTCTGATTTGGGCTCAACGTTGCGAGGCTTTTAAATTCAACTAAATTGTTATTTTGTATTTCCAAAGTCAACAATTTGGTGTTATTAAGCAGTTATTGGGCAGTTATTGGGTGTTATTAATTTCTTGTCAACAAAAATCACATATACGAGTTTTCTCCCTTCAGGCGAGTGAGCGTGAAACTCCGCTTTGGACACAAAGCAGCGATGCTTCTTAAATTCAACTAAGTTGTTATTTTGCGTATCCAAAGTCAACATTTTATTTTGTAGTTATTGGTTGTTATTTTGGAGTTATTGGGCAGTTATTGGGTAATTCGACGCGCCGGTCGCCGACAGGCGATTTTTTCGTCTGACAGGTAGCAAATAAAACTACCTGTCGTGTCGCTTGCGACAGGTGGACTAAATTTTACTTGATGTTCAGTAAATTGACCACAATACTCACGTCCACGTCACGTACATTTAATTATTAGTTTCTAAATGATTTTACTTGATTTTCAGTAAATTGACCACAATACTCACGTCCACGTCACGTACATTGAATTATTCGTTTCTAAATGCAAGACTTAAGCACGGAAATACCGCGAAAAGCCGCCATTTGCACTGTTTACAAACTACATTTCGCTCTGTCGTAGGCTACAGTTACTCACACAGTTTGGAAGTAGACAATTTTATATCAATGAATTTCACACCATCTACGCTTGTTTTGATCTGCTTGACACTAGTTTATAGCATTATGGAGTATTATATCTAAATAAATTAAAACGCACCCCCAAGTCACCTGAAATAATTCTACCGTAACGACACCACAGTAAATATAGTACTAGTAGTGGTTGGAATGGAAATGCATACGGTTCGTTGCTTGGTGTATTTAATCATTTAAAAAGTTTTAAACAATTTCCATAAATAAAGGCTATGAATAAGTTATAAGACAATTTGACAAAATCAAAAAATCAGGTCGGAAAAATATTTCATATATAAATATAATTTGTAGCGTAAAAATAGTCCGGATATGTGAGAAGGGAATTCCAGGTGGCGTTAGCTGTCCTTCGCACGCGGTACATGTAAATGTTAGGCGTAATCTTCACCCCTCGCGCAGATTACCCCCGCGCATGCGCGAATCTCCGTCTAATTTCCATTGAGTAATACATGTACGCGCGCACGAAGTGGACTTTGTCCGGGCTATTCAATGGATTACTGCGATGATAATCCACCAGGTTACGCAGGTAGTAATAGTAGATGATCCGCCTAATCTTACTAGGTATTCGCCATGGATCACTGCGTTAGTATTAGTCATTTTAATGAATTTTGTGACCGTCAGTTTACTGGTACAAAGAAAAGTATGACCGCATAGCCATAGTTGACTACTAGTACTACTAAAAAATACTATGCTAATGACTTTCTAAATCAATGGTTTGTGCAGTGGGTGAAAGATAAGAAAGAAGGGGGTTGAACGCAGTTCCCGCCGATAGGTCTACACATGACATATTTTGTGAACCAGGATAGAGATAAAGGTAAGATTAACAAGTTACGAATCTATTTTATCTTTACACTGATCGTTTCTGACGTGAATGAAGAAGGTAAATGCCTGGAATCCATTGATAGTTGATATTCTACTTCTAGTATTTTCATTCATTCACTCAATCTAAACTTTAGTGATATGGCATCAATTTCTGAATCTCAGTTTTATTTTACCTAGTAGTAGTACAACTTTTAAGTGGGCTTTTGCAATTTGCGATTTTTCCGTAGACAATTTCTGTCAGTATATGTGGGCTATCTTAAAAATTGTCTTGCAACTTGCAGATTTTTATTCATTTTGATACAATAATAAGACCCAAATTTGTGTCATCTAACTAGTCTAGGCTATAGTATTAGTACCGTAATCAATTTGTTCTTGCACTAATAATAATAGTAATATTAGTTATAAAGTTTATAAGGAATAGACAAAAATTGTATTTTAATCTCATACTCTAGTAGGCCTACTATTCGTTAGTAGTAGGCCTATTTATATGAGTCTTTTTAACCTTGCAAAATAATTGTATTTTCTAGAATGGGAGGAAAGTGTGTTAGAATGGAAGATAGCAGGATAAAAAAAATCTCCCTTCTTTGCCATCCATCATAAACAAGTTTACCACAACAGTGAAATAAACCAAGGGTGGCAAAAATGTAACCAGACCCTGTTTCACAGATTATTTTAATATCAAGACCTGGGAATGTAAACAGAAAAAGAAAGTCTGTGATGGCAAATTTTTACGACAACAAGTAAGTGTTCAGATATAATGTGCAACCACCACATAGGAAAATGTTCTTAGGGAGTGATGTAATTATTGTGATCGTCCAGTTAAAAATATGATCATCTAAAACGAAAAAAGATAAGTTATTACTATCTCTACATAAATTCTTAAGAGTCCCAGATATCGTTTATATTGCCAGTCCCAGATGTCGTTTATATTGAGTCCCTATATGTCGTTTATGTTGAGTCTCAAATGACGTGATACCTCCAAAAGGTATGGTGAAATACAAGGAGTGCCATGCAATTTTTTTAAATACCGGTATGCTTGTTTTGTAGTTCAATACTTTCTTTTTCAGAAATATTCAAGTATCAGATGCCAAAATACTACAGTCTAATACTTGGTGAGCAGCACAGCAGACTCCATAACAACATCCTTTGGTCCTCAACTTATTGGATCCCCACTTGCTTATCATGTATGTAATAATGTATCTATATTGATTTGGGCTTGTATATGTTTTTCAGCAAAACCACAGATTCATAACCGTAATAAAAACAATATCATTAGTTATCGCTCTGTATTTTCAGTAACGAGGACATAATGCAGTATTTTATATTCCATTTTTATTTCTCAATAAGGAATCACATAAAATTTGTTAAAACGCAACAGATATAAGTCAGCCATAATCAGTTTTAAATTGTTCTGGCATATTTTCAATGATAATATTTCTGTGTGGCCATATAACAAGAGAGTCAAGTCTATAAAACATATAATTGATCCAAATGGTAAATAAACTGCTACAATCCTGAAAAATATAAACAGTAAATAGATTATATAATATGTATTTCAGGCACCCCTTACACAAGTGACAACACAACCAAGAGCAGAGAACTCTGATAAATGTGGTGAAATAGTTTTTCAAAAAACAGTTGATGTACATTTAGATTTAAATCAGATAGAAAAGATGACAGTTGAGTGGAAATAAATAGATGTAAAGCCATAAAAATAGAGATTCCACAAGAAATATTAACATTTAGATGAACGAAAGAAAGTGTTGTGTTACGGCCTCAAATTTTGGAGCGTTATGAAAAGAAAGAAATAGACGATTCATTTTTAGAAAACACATTTGACAATTCATTTTTATTCTGTTCCCACTTCTTATGGGCAAGCAAACGAAACCATTGCAAAACAAATGTATATCAAACAGCCCGGGAATCATATTCATGACATTGGACTTGTCATAAATCCAGCTTTTCCATTTTTAGGTGCTACACCAGATGCAAGTGTTTGTGATAAAGGCGAGACTGAGCTCATTGAAATTAAATGTCCTTTTTCAGCTCGAGATATGACACTTACAGAAGCATGCAATACACTGAAAGATTTCTTTTCAGTGCAAAATGATGATGAATATAAATTGTAGAAACCATATTCACTGGTTTCAGATTCAGGGACAATTTCTCATAACTGGGGCTCAATTTTACGACTTTTTCACTTTTACAAGACCGGATTTCTGCATAGAGAGAATGTCTATAAAATAAGGTTAGCTAACCTTTGACAGCACCAACTATATTCTCTATCTGTACCATTTCATTAAAGCATTTTCTTCACAGTTTTCATACTCAATCAGATTTGACTTGATAGAATATCTGTAAAGAAATTTGTACATACATGATTATATTTTAGAATTTTTATATCAGAGATTGGTAGAGACTAATTTTGTAATTACAGCAGTAAAATATTTTAATTGTTTGCTGCTAAAGCCGGTCGTCTAATTTTAATAAATATGATAATTAGACTAGCCATTAATTAAAAAAATGCAACATTAACACAATTTTCTCAATTTTAATTTCATGCTATTACCATAACTTGAGTTACAGATGCATAAAGAATGTATGTACTTTATACCTGGATCTAAATAAATGAAATATATCTAAAATGATATAGAATAGTTTGTAGTGTCAGACAGAGAGAAATGGAGTTTAACATCCAGTTGACACAAACTGGATAGGTCATTTTTGGACTGGCAAATTGTCCAATTTTATTTCAATAATTCCCTTCAGCATAGGAGGCCCTGGAGAAAACACACAAAGTTGGACACAGGAGCCTTGCCACATACAAGTATTGGTTCGAATAGTTTGAAACCACCTCACTTGACTGAAAGACAGCCCTTATGATCTAATATGCATGTGTTAACCATTCGACAACCCAAAACCCCTGTATAGGACAGAAGGCACATCTACAAGACAGTGATTCCAGGCCTCTGTATGACTAACACTGTGAGCACATGTGACAGGAAAAAAACATTGTAAAGCTGATAAAGCCATTGTTACCTTTAAACCTTTGATTCAACTACTGCAGATTTCTTAAAAAAATTACTTGAACTGGGTTTGGGTGGTGGTCTTGGTTGAGCAATATGATCATAATGCAGTGCAGCGATAAGATGTGGCTGACCATTTACAAAGTGCTGAAAAATGAAAAAAATAATAATATTATAAATATTATTATTATGATACATAATATAATATAAGTAAGTTTACATGACCATTTCATTCTCCTAGATAATTACTATCAAGTTTTTAGTTGGCAACTAGATTTGCTTTGTATGCCTTCTGCCTTCTCTGTTTTTTGTTAACAATAACTTCTTAATTTTATTCAAACTTGAAGTTAAGGCCCATGTCTGAACTATTTAACCTGCAGATCTGTCCTATAGGCCTATATCATACTATGTGAGGTACAGTCAAATAAGATCAACTATGTTAATTATATTATGAAAAAGATTGTTTCCACTGGCTGTCAAAATGTTTGAGAGGAAATAGGCCTACTGACATTTTAATGTCACATGGTAAAAACAGCCACATTTATTAGCCTATAAGACAAGGCCTACCGGTACATAATTTTGTTTGAAAAAAAAGAAAAAAACAGTGTAGGCAAAAAAGTCTATAAAAATAAAAATAAAAATAATAACCTTAGTATGTGGGCCTTATTTCTCCGCTCGAAAGGTCCGCATCGACAACCTATCTCTGGAATCGATTCAGTTAGGTAGGGCCGGCTCTCATAGTATCGCGTCTTCTTCCAAACTTTGGGGAAGTATATAAAGGTTATCCCTCCTGTCTCTTCGGGTATCTACTGTCTGTATTACACGTACTCCAAGCACATCTCTTTACCATTATGACAGGTTGGTGGTGTCTGCTGGAAATACCTTAACCTTTATTTACGTGTCTGACCATAGATATCATTTGTGATTGGTTGATTTATTAGGCGTTTTTGTGAACCGATTAGATTAAAGACCGATTAGCTATTATACGCATTTGTGAACCAAGTTGATTATGCTAATCGTTACATTTGTGAGACGATTTAACTCAACTGATTAGGCAAATCGACCTAATCGTTCCAGGAGGTGTTTAGGCGATTAGATTTGACGTTTTCAAAATGGCGGAATGTTCGACATCGTAAGTAATTTTTAATGCTTATTGTTGTTTTTCTCCATAAAAAAATGTTTTTTTAAAACGCATTTGATGTGTTTAAAGTAGCTAAGTCTCTAACTCAATATCATCCAAAATCTTCAACATTGAAAACACGATTTATTTGTCAAATTATATCAACATTCATGTTGTGATCTTAACGGGAAAAGATGGGCTTTTGATATCCAATATTTAAGACAAAATAAACATTTTACCATTGGTACACGAATCGTGTACCATAATGCGCTTCAACCCTAGTTGTATCAAGAGACTCGAGGGACGAGGCTAGACACATTGCACCAAATCAAACGGCGTATGTAAACTGGAATAACCAGACGCTAGAAATTTGCACTCGCTTGACACTGCTGGCTTATTTCGCCGAACATAACTGATTTGAAATTGGAGTAAAAACGGAAACCATTGAATGTAAATCAGTTTATATACATTTATATTACAGTATTATATGCATTGCGACCCACTTTTGTCAATTTTTATTTCCCAAATGTTAGCGATTTAGCTCCTTTAATGTTAACTTTATAGTCCACAAGAATGTTAGATCACCTCTGGCTCTAAGCAATTTTAGGCCCTCTGGGTGCCAGCAGTGTCACTGTAATCTGTAGGTAACTTGGACTACACTTGAAACACACGCCCCCCCCCCCCCTCGTCATGTTAGCCGAGACAATTTTTTTTTCTGATCGGTGTCCGTGATGGCAGCCATCTTACCAAATCGTAATTATCAAATTTCACATTTGTGGACCATAGCTAATCAAATCGAAATCATACTAAATCGTACTAGCAAATCAAAACCTAATCTAATCGACTCACAAAAAGGCCTATTGTTTTGATTATGCAGTCTTATTTTCGAGAACACGCGCTAATTATGTAGTGATTTTGAAAATATTTCACTATAAAGTCAATAGGTAGGGTGGCCCATGCACCTACAGAAATACAGTCAACCGCTGATAGTTCGAGACTACCACTGAAGCGTGCACATTCGCCGTGTCGAGGCCAACTTTCTGACAGTATGATACTATAAATAGCCATGGCACGTGAATGCTCTACAAATCTATCAACTATTACAGCCGTAAAAAATTTATTGTTGACGATTTTGAATAGCAGTAAAATTAAGCTTCTTGGTTATTACAGCAGATTTAGAAATTACGTTCGTTTCATTTTTTAAATCGCTTTATCATTAACTGTACCGTTAAGAGTGGCATCTTTTGGTTTAGTACAAATACTATCTCTGAAACACTCGGGTTAGACAGGAACATGATACTAGCAGTAGTTTCATTTTACTTTTACAAGCTTCTTAAAACAATTGTTGAGCTAGCTAACGTGCTCATTTCTTAATTCAATTTCTTGTTCTAGCTTTCTGTTATGTTTCGTAAAAAAGTAGTCTTGATTATCCCGACCTGTCAATCAGCCTTAGAATGGTCGATAGACTGGTTAAGCGACTCTAATTTCAAAACAAGGGCACGTAACCTATCTTTTACTCAAAAGTGTCTGGATGTTATGGACGACACATGGAACCAGTTTTCAGTCTATTATTTATAGATGATTAATGGTCATAGCTTATTAAGTACAACATGAACGTTTATTTAGTGACTATAATTGTGTGAAACTGATTTGAGGCTTGGCATATATATAAATATTGTGGCGAAATTGTCGAGATATATGGAGATATTTATTTATGGTGGGTCACCCTACAATAGGGGGCAGATCATATATCTAGTTACGTCTGAAACACTACTAACATCTCTAAAAACATCGAGGGGTAATTAGCGCAAAGTTGGCAATCTGCGCTCCAGCTTGATAAGCAATCTGCGCGCGCGGAGTGCAATCTGCGCAGTACGACAGCGCAGATTGCAATCTGCGCTAGGGGTGAAGATTGCGCCTAACATAAATATGGTGCCATGCACAGGTGTGATTTGTGTTTTGATATTCAATTTATTACGGATATTTTAAAATCTGAATTCCTCAACTCAACAGTGAAGTATTGATTTAGTACGGAAGTGTGGTACCATGATACTTTGCGGAATTCACGTGGATACGGATGATAGAATTGTACGAATCGCCGAGCCAAAGCAGATTCGCCGACTTTCAATAACTTTTAGGCATTCCGATGTCGAAGAAATAAAAAGGTTTCATATTACGATATTTATATAGAGCAATGTACGTCAAAGACCTAACCACGTATGTGTGTACCTACATGTATGGATATGTGTGATGTGATTATTCTTTGAGTTTGATAATTGAGAGTTTTTTGGCCGGTACTTTTGCTTTTTTCACTACACTGAATTTTTTATTTTTTGAGCATATCATTTCACCCTCTTCCCTTTTTCTTTTCGAATCTTTAAGAAAGTTTTTAAAACATTTTTATCTTTTTGTTCTTCCCCGAAACAACGCCACGTCTGTTCCGAGACTGAATATGCCTTGTATCTGCCACAGAGTTCGTATTCTCCGGAAAAATACAGGGATGATTTTAAATTAATGAACTGGTAATTAATACACATATATAGTTTTTCAATCAATTCCGGGGCCTTTTTTGGTTTCCAGTCAATTGCACATTTAAAAATATGATTTGCGGATTCCGCGTTATTGTTTGTCCACAATTTAACTTCATCATTTTTTCTTTTTGGAGTGTAAACGAATTTGTTTATTCTGTTGGTAACAGTCTCAAGGTACTTCTTTGAATCCGGATATTTTTCGTACAGGGTCGAAAGTGCATGTTTCCTTTTTTCAAAATCGAACGTGTCGTTTGCACAAGCAAGTCCTTCATTTCCAAAGAATTTCTCTATTATTTCAGTTCTCTCACTTATATTTAGTCCGACTTTGTTTTGTAGGTGGAATTGCAAGTTATCTTTAATGTGTTTACTACACAATCTTCTTGATGCGTTGGGGAATACTTGCTCTATGGCGTTAGTTAAGGCTTTTTCGTCGTCACTACCGAATTCAAAACTACTAGGTATGTTAAGTTCAACTTCATTAACCACCCCTAACTGATCCGCGATATGTGACAAAAATTGTTTATATGTTGCAGTCGTTGCATCCTTGTGGAGTAAGATAGGACCGACTATAATGGGATAATCTTTGGGTTTTTTCCTCATTACACGTTCCGTCTTGTCAACAATCGCGGTCAAGTAGTATGTCCCCATGTTGAACGTCCGGTCTATTCCCAAAATTGGAGACTTCGAGCTTTTTAAAAAGTGGTTCATGTCTACAATTTGTTCATTGGTATAAAACATTACCGAGGGGACTTCACCTTTTCTATGTACTATTTGCTGAACAAAAGATAGGTGTTTAGCATACCGATGACCTCCAGTATTTCATCTGCTACGTTGGATGCATGGTTTTGATTTCTGTTTTTCTCTGTATAACGTGTACCACAATACAGTTTTCCCACCAACTCGCTTTCGTTCACAATATTCCCCATCCCTTTTAAA